ATTTGGAACAGATTTTTACAAAGAGCTAATTTTCTCCCTATAAATTGGTCATGTGACCAGGACATAAGGGTGTCCAGGGACTCCGCGGGATTAATCGTCAAATTAATCGTTATCGGCCAAATACCACAATTAATCGTGATTAATTTTTTTGACAATATTGCCCAACCCTAATTGTTATGTATACAAAGTTTACTATATAAATGTTTTCAGTCAGCAGGTTAACAGTTTCAGGAGCTGCTTGAGTAAAACTCCTCATCCTCTTTGAAATAGAGGCAAAAATCAACATCCATAAGCTTCCTGCTTACAGGTCAAACATTTTCATTTAAATAGGAGTACACTGTGTACTTATTAAAGCTACAGTTTAGTGTTCTTAGGACTGAAGACTTTCTGAGGAAAGAGGTTTTTAACAGCTCTTCTGACATTTTAGTGTTTTCAACTGAGGAGCTTTGATGTATTTATTTAAAAAAATTATAGCACAAGAAGTTCTCTGCACAGAAAAAACAATTTATTTTTACTGTTTTTTTTTTACCAAACTGACAAGTTTCTCCACTAAAATTGTTAATCTGACAAAAATCCTTATGTCTACCCCTGCTGCTGGGACACACATCAGAGGCATTAGGGGTGAAGTGTCTTGCCCAAGGACACAACAACTGAGACAAGAGGGATGGGAGATTGAACCGGTGACCTTCCGGTTCCAGGATGACTCCCCTAACCACTCTGCCAAACACCTGGTTAAATTTAGAAGATAATATGATTAACTASAAACACCTGAAGCTGACTCAGACCTCTGTGATTTTAGAGGAAGATCAAAGTCAAACGTAGACACGGCACACCCCCACCCAATATGGCTGTGGTCCGCTTGCACCTCCACCCGACCCGCGTGTGATTAATATGGATTTTTTTTGTGAAAATTACTGATTTGTGATGCTCATTATACAGGTAACCATCGGAAGGGGTTGACATGTGGACTCTAAAGTTCTGGGCCGGTCGGGGCCGCAGTGCGTGTGGACAGGTGCGGCAGCTGTGGTCACACTGCCTCTCAGCCCTCGCTAAACAGTCAGGTGATCTGTCTCAGTTTTGTTGTGCTCGTAAACACACGGTGTTGCATGAGAAATGCTGCGAGGTGCTTTTAGAAATATAATATATATAAAATACGACGTAATTCTCTGTGGAAAACAGCTCAGGTGAACAATAACCGACGTCATTTTGCCAGTGTCGGTATTTTCGGTATTTAAAAAAAATGAGGAAAGGAGAAACCTGCTCGTTTTCTGTTGCGGTCTCACGCCGCCCAGTTTGATACAGACGTTGCGTTCAACAAATCAAATGAACCCCACAGCTTAGTTTATCCAATCAGAGCAGAGCAGGGCGGAGCTTTCTGATGTTGGAGCAGCAGTCTGCAGGATAAACACTGGTCAGCCTGCAGCTCCTGTCCTGAGTGAACAAACCTCGTCCTCCACACTTCTCTCCTCAGCTACCTGAGACGTTTGTATCTAAAATATAACGCTCTGTAAGTTTATGTGTTCAGAGCTTCATTATCCAACAGATATGTCCAACTTTGCTCACGAGACCAAACTCCTGTCCTCGACAGTGTGCTGAGGTGCACACAGAGAGCTGCTGTTTCACTTCTTCTAATGAAACAATATTCAATTCAATTCAATTCAATTCTAAATTCAAAAATACTTTATTGATCCCAGAGAGATATTATTAAGTGTTGTTGTAACTCATTTAAGTAAAGAA